CGTTCCTGCTCTTTTATATACTTAAGCGTTTGTTCTAGAGCTGCTCTACGACCTTTTAGTTCTAAAAATGTGTCTTTAGCAGAGGAACGACTCGCTGATGATGCGTGTGAGCGATGTGACCTTTGCGATGCGACAGATATGTTATCATCTAATCTTTGTAACTTAGTAGATACTGCAATGTGAGTTTGTTCTACCGACGCTTTCATAGCAGCTAATGACTCTTCCATCTGCGATGCATGTGGTGTGTTTTTAGCAATATTTAGCCATTCCAATAGCTTTTCTTCGGCCGAGCTGGCAAGCATAAGGCATATTTTTAGTTCATTGTTTATTTGAACTTGATCTCTTGTTTGGCTGGGGTATATGCGGAATGCATTAACCTTCGCTATGTCTACATGGTCGGTTACCGGTCAAGGTCTTGAAAATGCTAAATGGCCGGCAGCCCATGTGTTTGTTTCCCTCTATTATTATCTAAACGAGCTTCCAAACTCCAAAATAAAACTTTACGAGTAAAATGAGTGTGTTAAAACTTACATAAACGTCGCACCGAGATTCGTTGCACTTAAAGACATTGTGCGAACTTGAACCGACTGCCGGCCAGGCGAAACAACGAAATCATAAATGAAATCATAAATGGCCGGCAGCCCATAAAATAACAGATTTCTCTTTTATTATTCTTATTTAAAGAGTTAAAACAACATAATAAACATTTCTGAAACTTTCATGGTACTGTAGAGACATTTTTCTATTCGAGAAAAATCTCAACCAACACGGCGGCCTGCCGGTCACGCAACATCAAATCCTAAATGGCCGGCAGCCTATAAAGTAACAGATTTCTCATTTATTATTTCTATTTAAGAGCAGATGTCCGTAAAAATCAAGCAAAAGGCGGCAAACCTTGAAAAATCGATTTCGCTCATACTTATACTATTGATAGGGTAGAGTGTCCCTATAAACGCTGTGTAGTTAGTTTGGCTGAATATCGTGTTTTGGGGGAGATATATGCAAATTAGTTGAGGGCACCAAAAATTGTAGATTTCAAGGCAAATTTTGGTCCCACTTTGTGATCTCGCTATGTCAATTTGAGTAATGCAAGCACAAAACTAACTTTGGATCATTGTAACGCAATGTTTTCTTTACTCTGTGCTTGCTTTTCAGCCCGGTACGGCGTTTATTTCGTACCGAAATAATTTTATTTTCGAAGACGATATTTTTGTCTAGAAAAAGTATACCTTACAAAAATATCAATAGCACAATTGCTTAACCTTCAAAGTCCTTCAAACTTCGAATACAGAGTCTCCAAAGACAGATCTTTCAAACAATGTAAAGTTTTCTTTGGGCAAATGTTTGTACGCGACGCTACGTGACGCCAAAGTTGCTTAAAATTGGGCATAATTGGACCTTAAAGTTCGTCAAAAGCAAAGTTTATCAGAACAAAACTTACTCAAAACATGCTAAATGAAGAAATCGATTCTAGTTTGGAGTAGATACGAATATACTGCTCTCTATAAATACATGAAACGTATCCCATGTAACGAAAGTGTATCAATTTACACAAAGCTAGCAACTTGTCAACACTGAAACACACAGGGAGCCCATTCAAAACTTTTTTCGAACTTTTTTGTATTGTTTATACGATCATTATGGCTTGTATTCTATTCCCATGTTTTCTAGTGGATTTTAGTACATACTTAGAAAAAGTCTCTTAAAGTAGATGTAGATATGT